ACATGTAAAAGGTCCCTGTTTAAATATTTCTCGGGCCTGAATGCTTCAGACAGGAAGCCACAATACCTACCACTTTGATGATTCTGTGGCACACTGGAGCATGTCATATCTAAAAAACAACACATACCTTTTCATTAGTCTTCCAGGAACCGGAACAGGATTTTTTCTTTAGTACATTCCGCAGCTGCTTCGTCCATTACTGGCCCTCTCCCTCCATCAGAATCAGGAACTACATTTTTACATTCCTTTCAACTGATACAGTGCAGTGATCCCCAAGATAATAGAATAACTGTCTCTCTGGCTGGCTGTACTTTTTTCTTTCTTCTTTTTTTCTCCTTGACAACAGAAAATTTCTTTTTTTCCCCTTCAGAAAAAAAGCGACATCACCCTGTCAATGTTAAATTCTGGCAGAAATAGAAGCACTAAAATGGAAAGAAAAAAAAGAAATTTTGGCAACAGCCAGGAATGAGAAACTGCATAGCATTTACTTGGTTGTATGTATTTCAGGAAGATGGGGTACTCCGTATTATTGGCAATGATTGTCTCTGGGATCAGTGCTTATTTCTAAAATAATTCTTTTCAGTGCATGTAGCAAACTGATTGCATCTGTGGCCTCAGTTCTTTACCCCTCCTGTTACATTCTTTACCCTGTTACATTGCAGTTCCTCTCTGTATAAAGACCACCTTGCATTTGGACTTGGCCATGTGACTTGCTTTGAACTATGGGATGTTAGAAGTCATGATGCAAGTCGAAGCTTTAAAAAGTGTTGGCATGTTTCCACTAGTTCTTCTGGACCCCTGACATCACTGAAAACATGCTCAGGCTAGCCTACTAGAGGGATATGCCAGGGATCCAAGCCAGGGCCATCCTAGATCATCCAGCTTCTTCCAGGAGACCCATAGGTTTCTGAACTAAAATAAATGTTTACTGTTGTAAGCCACTGAAGGTCTGTGGTTATTTGTTACACAGTAATAACTAACTGATACAGGGCCTTTGCCTAAAATTTTGGCACCTGGGGATGATGGCTCATGACTTCTCCAACTTGAAAGGTGAACAAATTACTGTACTTCAAGCCCCACTGATATTATAGTTAACAGCTTGGAGAGGTAATTTGAAGTCTCCATTCTAAGTAAACTGCCCTTTAATTGGTCCCTAAATATAGCCAGCACATTGCAGTCTCTGTAACTTTGTATGTTTTCATTTCTCCCTGCTGGAATGTCCTTCCCTCTCCTCTGCCTATTTGAATCATGCCAGATCTCCAAAGACCTACATAAAATTAGCCTTTTTTTAAATGCGCTATAGCTGCCCCTGGCCTGCAGTGGCCTCTTAACTCAGGGTATTTCTTGCTTGAGCTATAAATTGGATACTCAACACTTGCTGCCTTATATGGCTACCATTTCTTAGCTACTGTTTATTAAATTAGATTCCAGGCAAGGCCCTTCTTCCAGTCCTTTTATCCCCTAAGCTTTTCCTGGTACCTTGAAAAGGGAAGAACAGGACCTTTCACTAAAGACAGTAGTATTTGTAGGTTGACTGATACCTAGGGGCTAATTTACTAATGAGTAAAACCAAAGGGGGAAAAATTAAAACTCAGAAAAGGATAGAAGTTAGGGGCTTCCACACCTGAGTCTGTCAAATGTTACCCCATCCCATTGGGAAACTAAATCCTATCTTAAACTATCACCTTCCCCCTGAAGATTTTCCTGATTTTCCATTCTCACTGAGCACTTCCTGTGTACTGGGTATTGTTCTGAGTGCTTTCAGTGAATTAGTTCATTCAGTTCTCATAGCATTCTTATGGGGTACATACAATTTGCATCTCCATCTTATAGATGAGGGTTAGAAAAGGTTAATTAACTTTTCTAAGATCACACAGGTTTTACAAATAGAATCTGTGGGCAAACCCAGGCAGCCTGATTCTAAGCCCATCTTTGTCCCCAACACCTCATGTCTCCCCAGTCTCAGGCTTTCCAGGGTTCCTTCTCTTGTTTCTTAGTCCTATCCTGAGATGGCAGTGGAGGTAAGGGAAATTTCTGCTTGATTTTTTATATATTCTCTTTACTTAAATTCCCTCATGATTACCTAATGGTACACATTTAACTAGGATGAGTCCATCTTCTCTTGTTTTTATCTGTATGTGTTTATTTACCCATAAAGATAACTTTTCACACTGAAATTTGCGTGATTAGCCAAGAAACGTAATGCAAACAGTTTTTGCATTTGCAAGCCATCTCTTTCTCAGTAGGCTGAAAACCACAATATATTGCTTCCTCTTTATCTCTGTAGAGCAAACACAGTATTTGTCACTCAGCATCAGAACTTCAGTAACGCTACCCAGAAAGGTCTGTGCTGGTCCAAATGGCACACATCCCACAAGTGGCGTCTTTCTTTCTCTTTCTGAGTAAGTGTTATAATTCTGCCTGTTTCTACTGTAATCGGGGCTAGTCAACTGGAGGCTGCTGGGTGAAGGAGGAGGGCAATTTGTGTTTATAGGAAAAACTCTGCCACCCACCTCTGGCATTGGGAGGAATTGCTGACTTGCAGACAGTGGTTTCATGGCTTACCCAGACATCCTTGAGTCCCAGGGAGGAGCAATGCTTGCTTGAGTCCCATGAACCTGATCCCACTGTGTTTTACATTTGATTATGTTGCTGGATCTGCCAGTTTTGCTGGCCCTGCCTTTACCCTTTCTTCCTGGGGTGACCCATCCCCAGAGTAAAAAGCTGAGCTCCCTGGACTCAGAGGTGACCTTAAGGGTCGCCTGTTATTAGAGCTTAACTAGATAGGTGACTTTGGAGATGTGGCTGGATGGAAGGGAATGGTATGAGAGCATGTGGTAGTTTTAGGTGAAGCTGAAAGAAGGTTCTGGACTTCACCTATAAGCCGAAGAGGGAATTGCCTACTAAGAGACTGAGAAGGGGGCAGGAGGATTCACTTGGCTCTGCTGAAGGGCATATAGAGAGGCCTTAACTGGCCCAGGGGCATTTGAACATGTTAGAACAGGGTGGAGGAAGGGGAGAGTTGGAGGTGGTGGAGAACAGATGAACCAGGTAGAGAATGAGTGGGTAGAAGAGGTAGCAGGTGCTTTTTTGGGCTATGGGTTCTATCTGCATCTGGTGAAGCCTATAGATCCCATCTTAGAATAATTTTTTAAATGCCTATAATAAAATGCATAGGATTTTGGGGAAATAATCATATTGAAATGCAATTATCAAAATATTTTTAAATAAGTCATAATGTAGTAATTATTTGCATCTTTACACATTACATAACAAGCTCTAGAAGTGGTATATTAACCACCAGACTTCAAAGTAGTGAGTATGAATGATATTTCAAGATTATCTGCAACAATTGTAACACAATGTGAAAACATCTATGGTTTATCGTCTTCATTGGTGATTAGGAAATTTAGAAGAATATACTTCCAAGATTAGTGAAAATAAAGATGCAGGTGTGTTTTTTTCACCCAAGTTTATGGACCATTTAATCCCATATGTGGACCCAGTTTAAGAATTGTGTTGGGGAGATTGGACTGAGTTAGTGCAGGGCTTTGAATGACTGGGACAATAGGAGAATGACCTGAGCTTATACGCAGTATGACCAGGGCTGAGGCTGACACACAAAAGGGCACTTAATTACATTGGCTTGAGATGAACTGGGCTTTTGTCTCGGGGACATTGGGTCATGTGAGGTAAGGATCACATCTGGGGCCTGCTGGAGCGAGGTGGCCTTCAGGAGAAGTTACTAGGACTAGTTGCTGGGTGATTGATGCCCGCCAGACTGGCTTGGCAGTGCTGATGGCTCGGTGGCTGGTGTGTTCCTGATTGTCCTGTTCAGCTGTCCGAGCATGATTCTCTAGTGTCTGTTCTTTGGGTATTTGGACTCCCGTTGGCTGTGTTTTGGGGGAGACTGGGCTTATATTGTGCACCAAGTCAGACAATTACAAATTCTCTCCCCCATCCCTTTTGTTTGTTTGTTTGTTTGTTTGTGACCAGGCTGGAAGGCCTGGTGGGGTGGGGGAAGTAGTAGCAACCAAAAAGGTTCAAAAAGGGGAAGTGGGAAACTTTTCCTTAACCTATTTAAACAAATCCCTGAACTGGGTTACATATTTATTTCTCCTAAATTCTGACTCATCGTAAGCACCAATTTTGTTTAAAACCACAGTTTCTATGTGAGGAACACATAAAAATCAGAAAGTAACTTGAAAATTCTACTATTTGTCATTACACCTGTAGAGGGACAATTACAAATAATGAAGGAAATCATTAAATGATGATCAACTGCATTGTTTAGCAAACGTATACTCTGTCCTGATTAGTTTTTTAAATAAAGACTGACTAGTCCTGTTAGGATATGGGGCTAGATGAGGTTACTGTCATGAGCTCTTGGACTTAGCATTTAACTTTGCTTCGTTTATCTGTCACCACTCACCTTGACTAGCTGTCCTACAAATAAAAGCCATTAACATGGAAGGGTCCTGGGGAGGAGCTATTGTTTGCCTTACTGAGACTGGATTCATGAAAAAAAAAATCTAAAGTATTGATTGGAAGCTCTCTCAGCCTCCAAGCACACAGGATTTTTGTAATGTAAAGAAAGAGAAGTTGCTTCTTGTGTTTGGTGTTGTCAGGTAGACTTTGTGTAATGTGGAATCATTTGAAGTTGCTGTTTTGGATATCAAAACTGGTCAAGTGTGGGCCATTTTATATGTTCAACTTAACATACTATATTGTTCACTCTAACAAATACCATTCAAAATACTAAAATGATGAATTTGGCAATCCCAGGGATATTCTTTTAAAAACCCAATACCGTCAGGGAATTCTTCATGTTTCAAAAGTGTGACACTAGTGTAGTATTGTAGTAGCCAGCAGCGTGCCCATCAGTCAACAAGAATTTGCACTACTGTGCAAAAGTACTAGCCTTCTGTCCATTAAAAGAGATGGCAATGAGACAGTCCTCCAAGGTATTATATTCCTTAGGAGGAGAAGGGATTTGTACAATAGATCCCACAGACAATATAATTATAAGATGCTTCAATGCATGATCGGAATGCATAAACTTTTGAATTCACCTGTCAGTCAGTCCTGTCCATCTCAGAAATATCTGTGAAAACTCCACACTGTTTCTTTTCCTTTTCTGAGAAAACAGTACCCTCCCCATCATGTTCTTGATCTCATCGTCTACCAGGACCTTCCTCCGTTCATCCTCCTCTTGGGTGCCATCTAGCTCTACCCTCTCCAGCTCCTCTGTCTGTAAAATGCCCATCCAGCCTTCATTCCTTCTGCTCCCAATTACACATCTTAGCTGCCAGCCTATTCTGTTTTCCTTCTCCATGAAACTTGAAGTCATTATACTTCCTGCAGTCTATTCTTACCCTTGAACTCCTCTGCTTCTGCTCTATTGAAATCTTTTACGAAGATCTCCACTGACAACCTCCTCATCAAACTGAAAGGACTCCACCTCCGGGCTCCCAGCAGCATTCAGCAAGCAGGCAGGTGCTCTCTTCCCAGAGCACTTGGCTTCGTTTGGTCTCCCAGCTGCTGGGTCATGGCTTCCTCCCACCTTCCTCACTCTTTTTCTATAGGTGTTGTTCCTCATCCTAGCCCCTAAATAGAGAGATCCTCTAGCAATCTTTCTTTCACCCTAATTTCCAGGACATTTTCCTTCTGCTAATCTTCATGGAAGCCTTCCTCTGATCCAACTCATCACTCCCTAATTTTCCTGAACTGACCTAACCTCCCTCTAGAGCCCGGAACTCTGCTGAGTTACAAATGCATTTACAAGCAGTGAGAAACAGTGGAGACAGCCAGGGATTTGACATTCACTAATCTAGGTACAAGACTTGTAAATGGCTCAGCCATTTACAAGTCTGACATTACTAAACATGGCAATATCACAGTATTCTTAAAAGGATTAGATTACGGGTATTTTCAAAGTGTTGGGTAGACTTTAAAGTAAATGTTTAAATATTATTCCCAACTGTTCCCTGATATCCCTCCTGTTTATTCTGGGGTACTCAGATTTAGTATTTCCCAAATTAATGCATTATCTTCTCCCTCACTCTTGAAAACACAGCAGTAACTCTTTCTGATATCCTTATTTCTGTTAACAAAACCATTATTCTCCCAGTCACCCTCTCAAAACCTAGTATCATCTTTGGTTTCTTCCTGCCTTCCATCCATCCAGCCACCCCTTCTACCTCCAAGGATCCAAATACTGAAGAACTCTAGGATTTTATATCCACAATGGCTCCTAGGTTATAGGCCTTTTCTCTCCTGCTGCCTTCATCACTTCTCTCCTGGGCCACTATAATCACCTGATGTCTATTTCCAACTTCCATTATCCCACAGGCAACTGTCAGGCAATTTTTCCTAAGACCTTTCAACCACTTTCAGTGGTTTCTCATTGCCTAATCAATCAAGTCCAAAACTCTAAACATGATAGCCAAGTCCTTTGTGTTTAGACTCAAAATTCCTGTCCAATCTGACCTCTTTCTATTAATCTTCATGGAACCTTTCCTTTAATCCAACTGATTCTTCCTGAACAAGTCTTTTGAATTCTACCTATACAGTCTTGTCATGAAGTCTCCTTCACCTAAAAGGCCCTGTCTTCCTTAAGTTAATATCTCACTCAGAGAGATGACTAACACCCTACTCGCCTACTGGTTTGCACAATAAAATGTTTCAAATGTGGTACCCATGTCTGAAAAGTCATAGAAAATCTTGGATAAATGTTGCCTGTCCCCCAAAAATAATAAGTCCTGGAAACATGCTCTGATATAAACAGGGCAGAAACCACATTTCTAAAAATATTTTTGTGAAATATAACACCTAAAAAAAGTTAGTAAACACAAATATGCAGTTTACCAAAGAAGTAAAAAGTAACCACTAAATTCGTCAAGAAATAGATTTCCAGGATGGTAGGAATACCTGTCCACTTTGCCACATGCCCCATCCAGATCCCAACCCTCCCCTGACACATGCTTTCCTGACTTTTGCGGTAACCACTTCTAGATTTTTTTTAATGGTTTTATCCCGTATGTTTTGTCTTGCCAATGGGTTTCAGCCCCAGGCACGTTCGCTATGGATTCAATGTGACCAAAGAAATGACAGTAGAACGTTATACCCAGAAAGGGTTATACCCAACTTTATTTCCAGGTGGCAGGTCAGTCACTAGAATCGCTTTCACTCAGAGCGAGTCTGTATGCAGCAAGCCGGTCTCTGCCTCTGGGCTCTCTCTGTCCACACAGCTGTCCTCTGGGCCCCTCTGCCTGCACAGCCATCCCATGCAGCCATCCTCTGGGCCTCTGTCCTCTGCTCTGCTCTCTTCCAGGCTTGCAGCTCTGCCACCTTGTTGCCCAGAGCACTGGGTGGAGCTCTTTATATAGAGTCAATAGCAGTGCATTGCCCACACATGTGTAGTAAGCTAGCCAACCAAGGCCAGGTGAGAATCCTGGCCACAGGAACCTTCATTTTATTCACATGTTTGTATCACTAAACAATACAGTGTGGTTTTGCCTGTTTTTATATTTTTCTAAAGGGTAGAATCATTCTGTATATAGTCGAAAAGATTCTGAAGTATTCTACATCTTCCATTAAACACAGTCATCCACACTACTGCCACCATTTTCAATTCATCCACTTTGATTTCTGTGTTTTATTCCATTTTATGAATGTACCACAGTTTGTCTATTGTACTGTTGATAGACATGGATGGTCTCTAGTTTGGGGTTTTCATGAACAGCGCTGCTTGGATATTCTCTCACAGCACACACATTTCTCTAAGATGTATGTCTACGACTGGTTGGCATTGCTGAAAATGTTTTAAATTGCCTCTATAGTATAAGTTTTTGGTACATAACAACAGATTGTTGACTTCTTACAAAAGAGCTTATTACAAAAAAGCATATTCTAAGTATATCACAGTAAATGGGATTTATAAACAAGTCAGTGTACTTTAAATTATTACTGGAAACATGTGGTTGGTTGATTGGTTGATTGGATGTTTGCTTGTGTTCCAGTTTTGCAGTGAGGATTCACATGTGTAATTTTTCACTGACTGCTTCAGGTGACTGCTCACCCTTTCTCCATTTTTTTGTAGGCCCCCTTCTATCAGAACTGTTTTCATTCCAGAATTCCTACACTCAGCCTTATCATGGTCTCTGTAATATCATTTTCCCTTTCGCTCACTTTTTTCTTTCTTGTCTTTACTCTTTGTCCTTGTGTATTCACAAAGTTCAGTAGATGCTCTGCTTCTTCATATGTTTTCATGACCTCTGCTCTGTTCATTTCGTAACACTGGGGACTGCTCTCCGTGGGACCCCTTGCACTGGGCCCTCGGGAAAGACGTGGGGCACCCTTGCGGCATCCTTGTCTTTTGTTCTTTGTTCTTTCTCTACCACAAAATAAACTAACCTTTAACACCAACATAATAAAGAAACACATAAATTTTTTTTCTGAGAAATGCTTGATTTTGAGAATGTGTATGTCCAAGAAATGTTACCATCTAATAATGTCTTCTCCTTTCAACCTGATACTTGAGATTTGTCCCAACAGGAACATGCCATCATGGTCCCAAACGAAAAGTTTTGGTAAGAGAAGAACTAAAATAAATCTAATCTCAGATCCTGCTAGGTTTGACACGCATCTTTAATGAAGCCTTTCAACAAAGCCATAGTGGCTCTTTTAAAAAATGACCAAACAAAAAGCCCCCAGATATAAAAAGGAAGTGCTGCTGCCTCTTCAGAGCTAATTTTAGTTGGTCTTGCATCAGACCCGGGCAGGAGCTATGATAGTTTCAACCAGCCAACCAGCAAGAAAAAGCATGGCATCACCGGCAGTGACGTAGACACTGCCTCTCCTGCAGTCCTTTGCGTGAGAACAGCCCTGTGATGACAGGTACCCAGGAACTGGAGGCTTTGAGGAAGTAGATGCTGAATTTTCCCATAATAATGTAAAAGGTGAATTATCATACATAGCTAACTTTAAAATAAGGGCACTTAGATAAACATATGTTGTATAGAAGTGGCCTTCCTAACACCGACGAAGCAAACCTTTTAAGAAGAGACTGCATATTACTAGGGAAGTTAAAGTTATAAAAGAACAATTAAATCATCAAGTCATTCCACTGCTCCACAGCCTGAAGAAGGTTGGACATTTGAGCTGATTATAGCTAATAACCTGCGATCTCATTTACTAGAATGGTAATACAGGGAGCTACCTAATGCGGCACATTGGGAGCTGGAGCACTAATCTATTTTTATTCCCCTTTCTTTCTTCTGCTTCCAAGCTAAGCTCAGCATTGGCCAGAGAGAAGTAACTGTTCAGAAAGGACCACTGTTCAGAGCTGAAGGTTACCCTGTCAGCATTGGCTGCAGTGTAACTGGCCACCAGGGACCTTCTGAGCAGCATTTCCAGTGGTCTGTTTACCTGCCAGCAGTGCCCACTCGAGAAGTCCGGATCATTAGCACCATGGATGCCACCTTCTCTTATGCAGTGTATGCGCAGCGGGTGCAAAGCAGGGGAATCTACGTGGAGAGGGTTCAGGGCAACTCTGTCTTGTTGCACATCTCAAAGCTCCAAATGAAGGATTCTGGCGAGTATGAGTGTCACACACCGAGCACTGATGAAAAGTACTATGGGAGTTACAGTGCGAAGACCAATCTCACTGGTAAGCTGCTTGCACCCCTCTGCTAGCCGGGCCCTGAGAAGCCAGTCTCCACCGTCAGAATGCCTTCCCATGTGTCATGGCTTTCTATGGTGCTCTTTGCTTTGGTGAGAGCCCATGTACCACTCTGGATATTTTGGAGATTTGTCACAAATAGGTATCTCATATTTTGTAAAACTCTCCTCCATTCATTTTGCCCATCAACTTTGCCATGAAGATTTAGTTGTGGTCTTCCCCAGGCCTTTCCACAGCTATCCATTGATTGATAATGGCAACTGCACTAGACAAAGCTTTGGGAGTTCTCCCCATCTTATGTCTCTTCTTGGAGGCAGAACATTAATTTGATAAGAGAGCTGAAACTAATAGTGGTAAATCATTAACTCGGAAATGATTATTCTCAAACTACCAATCTCTGGCATATTCACCTTTAAGGAGAGGCCACAATCCTTGTAATTAGTGTTTTGTACCCTTGCCTAGAATATCTTATCACCCCTATTGCAGCATAGAAAACTCCTACATATACTTCAAGATGCAGTTGAGATATTACCTCTTCTGTGAAACCTGTCCTGTCTCAGTTAGTATTCCCATCTTTGTGTCCTCTTGGTACTCTATTCACACCCCTATTATTGGCACATTCTCATGTGGTTTTTGGCTATTTATATGACTCTCTCCTACCTCACTCTGAGCTCCATGAGAAAAGAATGTTTATTTCAGCGCCTAGCACAGTGGCTGGCACTGAGTACATGCTCAATAAAAATTCATTGATTGAGTTGTTTGCTTTCCTATAAGCTTAGGCTGGTGTGATTTCCTTTGAAGAAGACAGTGGTAGGGTAGTAGGGTGGTTAAGAAAACTTTGGTAAGGGTTTCGTGGGTAACATTGGCTCTGGATGATAGACTATACAGATTATTTATAAAGGATTAAATTGAGGCCCAAGGAAGTGAAGTGACTTGCTCCAGTTCATGTAGTCAAGTAGGGACAGATTTAGGATCAGAATCTAGCTCTTCTAGATTCTACTACTTTTTCCCTTTAAATACTCTTCATCTGAGTAGCTAAGTTTTGGGGAGAGTTTATGCTAAGAATGTCAAGTCAGGGTCAGTACATCAGAGAGTGGTTAGGTTTGCCGAGTTCATAGCCTGTATGTACATAGATGCCAGTGTTCCCATTGGCAGTAGGTAAGCATATGGCCAGCCAGTGCACAAGGAACCCAGAGAGGTGCTTTACTGACAGTGGGTCAGGGTGCCATCTTCATCTAAGGAGGCTGGTCTGACCAGTACTGGGCCAGTCAAGTGTCATCATTCCTTTGCTTCTAGTCATTGCAGATACCCTCTCTGCCTCCATGAGCCCCCAGACTCTCACTAAGGAGGAAGGAGAGCCGTTGGAGCTTACCTGTGAGGCGGCCAAAGCCACAGCTCAGCACACCCACCTCTCTGTCACCTGGTACCTGGTGCAGGATGGAGAAAAAAGCCACGCCGTCAAGATTATTTCCCTCTTGAGAGATTTTATGTTGGTCCCTGGGCCCTCGTATGCAGAGAGGTTTGTAGCTGGTGATGTGCGACTCGATAAGCTTGGGGTCACCACCTTCAGGCTGTTCATAAGGAGGCTCCGGCCCTCAGATCAAGGTCAGCTGTTCTGTGAGGCAACTGAGTGGATTCAGGATCCAGATGAAACCTGGACTTTGATCACAAAAAAGCAGACAGATGAAACAGCGCTGAGGATCCAGCTGGCAGGTAATTATCTTCTCAGGAAATTCATGAATATGCTGGTAGTAGGTCTTTATGGGATATATTTTTGGTTTTGTTTTTCTGATCTTTTGTTGAATCTACAAAAACACACTTAGACAGTTTGAGTAAATGCTGTTTTTATTATCTGGAAGGCATAAATAAAAAGCATGACATTCAGTTTTGGTTCTGTCCACAGGTGGTTTTCTATGGGATAAAATCTGTTGAATGGCTAGATAGATTCCACAGACCATGCATGGAAGTAGCTCTGTCACCATTCTTAGCAGGCTCTGTATAAGCGCTTTATCTACATCAGCTAATTTAGTCCTAACAACCATTCATGAGGCAAGTAGTCAACTCCCCACTTTTAAAACAAGGAACCTGTGCCTCTGACATGCTAAATGATCTGCCTAAACTCACTCAGCTGGTGACAGGTGAAGCTGGTGTGTGAAGACAGGTGTATCTGCCCAGAGCCCACTCACCACAGACACTTCAGAATAGCTCCAGTTTTCAGCATGAAGTCTGTAGTGCCAGGATTTCCTTCCACTGACTTCTTTTCCAACTTGGAATGGTGTCCCTCTTCCTGACCCACTGACATTTTCTTCAAAGCCTCAGCTGTGGTTCCTGGTTTCTCTACCCAGGCTTTGGTCCATGAAAAGGAGGTTGCTGGGAACACATATATCCGTGATAAAAATAATGATCCAATGCGGGTTATTTATGTTTTCTTTCTTTTTTTTAGGAGGAGTGCTGTTCTAGTCCATTAAAAATTGTCCTGTTGGCCTTAAATGTCAAAGTGACTGGCAAGTTCTCTGGGGGTACATCACATGTGCATTTTTTCTCTCTTTTTAAACAGTTTTTAAAATGTAAACTAGTCTATTTTTATCTTTTTATACAGGTAAAACTTGTGTATTTTTAAGGTGTACAACATATTTTGATATACCTAGGCATTATGAAATGATCACCACAAGCTAATTAACATCCATCACCTCACAGTTACCTTTTGCATGTGTTGTGTATGTGCATGCAATGGGAACACTTAGGATCTACTATCAGCAAATTTCGAGTTCACAACACAGTATTATTAACTGTAGTCACCACGTTGTACATTAGATCCCCAGAACTTATTCATCTTGCGTAACTGAAACTTTGTACTCTTTGATAAACATCTTCCAATCCTCCCCCATCTCCTGGCAGCCCCTGCATTCTACTCTCTGCTTCTGCGAGTTCAATATTTTTAGAGTCCATGTATAAGTAAGATCCTGCAGTATTTGTCTTTCTGTGTCTAGCTTACTTCACTTAGCATAACATCCTCCAAGTTGATCTATGTTGAAAATGACAGGATTTTCTTTTTTCTCATGGCCCAATAATATTCCATTATCTATCTATCTATCTATATATCTATATCTATATCTATATCTATATATATACCACATTTTCTGCATCCATTCATCCATTGGCAGACACTTAGGTTATTTCCACATAGTGTCTGTTTTGAATAACGAAATCTCTTCAAGATGAGTATCTCTTAAAGATGCTAGTTTCATCTCCTTTGGGTATATACCCAGAAGTAGGATTGCTAGATTATATGGCAGTTCTATTTTTAATTTTGAGGAATCACCATACTATTTTTTATAATAGCTATACTAATTCACCCTCCCACTAACACTGCACAAAGGTTCCCTTTTCTCCACATCCCCACCACTTGTTGTCTTCTGTCGTTTTGATAAGAGCCATTCTAACAGATGTGAAGTGACCAATCTCATGGTTTTAACTTTCATTTCCCTGATGATTAGTGATATTGAGCATCGTTACATATACTTGTTTGCCATTGTTTGTCTTCTCTTGAGAAATGTCTGTTCAGGTCCTTTGCCCATTTTTTAAGTCAAGTTCTTTGATATTTTGCTATTGCGTTGTGTAAGTTCTTTATATATTTTGTGTATTAACCCCTTAGCAAATACATGGTTTGAAAATGTTTTCTCTAATTTTGTAGATTGTCTCTTCACTCTATGGATTCTCTCCTTTTCCATGCAAAACCTTTTTTAGTTTGATGTGGCCCCACTTGTCTGTTTTTGCTTTTGTTGCTAGTGCTTTTGGGGTCATATCCAAAAATCATTGCCCAAACCAATGTATTAGGAAGCTTTTCCCACTATTTCTTCTAGTAGTTTTACAGGTTTAGGTCTTAGATTTAAAATTTCAATCCACTTAGAGTTGATTTTTTTTTTTATAATATGGTATGGAAATAAGGGTCCAACTTCTGCATGTGGATATTCAGTTTTCCCAACACCATTTATTGCAGAGGCTCTTTATCCAACTGTATGTTCTTGGCACCTTTATCAAAGATCCGTTGACATAGCTGCATGGATTTATTTCTGGGCTCTCTATTTTGTTCCATTGGTCTATTTTCAATTTTGAGTACTGTACTGTTTTGATTACTGTAACTGTGTAATATATTTTGAAATCAGTAGTGTGATACTTGCAGTTCTGTTTTTGACCCAGATTTCTTTGGCTATTTAGTCTTTTGCGGTTCCAAATGAATTTTAGGATTTTAAACAAATTTCTATAAAAATAAATCCATTACATCTTATTACACTGGTGGACAGTGACTTTAATGCAGTATGGGGGGGCTACTTAATAATATGGGTGAATGTAGTAACCACAAAGGTTTTCATGTGAAACCTTCATAAGAGTGTGTATCAATGATACTTTAATAAATAAATAAATAAATAAATGCCATTAGAATTTTGATAGGAATTGCATTGAATCTGTAGATTTCTTTGTGTAGTATGGACATTTCACCAATATTTATTTTTCCAACACATAAACATGGGATATCTTTCTATTTATTTGTGTCTTTAATTTCTTTCATCAATGTTTTATGATTTTCAGGGTACAGATTATTTCCCTCCTTGGTTAAACTTATTCCTAAGTATTTTCTTCATTTTGAGCTACTGCAAAAGGGATTCTTTTCTTTCTTTTTTAATTGAGGTAAAATTGGTATGTAACATATAATTTTCAGGTATGCAATATTATAGCTTGATATTCTTACACACTATAAAGTGATTATCACCATAAGTCTAGTTACTCCCATCACCATACAATTGAGCCCCTTCATCCATTTCACCTACTTCCATCTTCTTCCCATGACAACCAGTCTGCTCTCTGTGTCTATAACTTCATTTTTATTTTGTTTTATTCATTTGCTTTATTTTTTAGATTTCACATGTAAAATGAAATCATATGGTATTTGTCTTTCTCTGACTTATTTCATTTAGCATAATACCCTCAAGCTCCATCCATGTTGTCACCAATGGCAAGACTTTCTTCTTTTTTATAGTATTTCACTCTATATATACACCTTATTTTTCTTTATCCAATTATCCATTAGTGGACACTTAGGTTGTTTCCATATCTGGACTACTGTTCATAATGCTGCAGTGAACATGGGGCTGTAGATTTCTTTTTGAGTTAGTGTTTTTGTATTCTTTGGATAAATACCCAGAAGTTGAATTGCTGGATCACATGGTAGTTACATTGTTAATTTTTTGAGTAATCTCCATACTGTTTTCCATAGTGGCTGCACCAATTTACCTTCTCACCAACAACATAGGAGGGCTCCCTTTTCTCAACATCCTCACCAACACTTGTTATTTCTTATTGTGGATAAAATGAAGGTTCCTTTGGCCAGGATTCTCACCTGGCCCTGGTTCTCTTGCTCACTACACATGTGTGGGCAATACGTTGTTATTGACTCTATATAAAGAGCTCCGCCCAGTGCTCTGGGAGATATGGTGGCACAGCTGCAGGAGAGCAGAGCAGAGGCTGGAGTGATGGCAGCACCCAGGACAGCGGCCCAGAGGACAGCTGTGCAGGCCCAGAGATGCAGAGGCAGAGACCGTCTTGCCGACTTACTCTGAGTGGATGGGATTTTAGTGATTGACCTGCCACCATGGGAATAAAGTTGAGTGTAACCCTTTCAGCCCAAGAACATTCTACTGTCATTTCTTTGGTCACATGGAAACCATAGTGAACTTGCCCAGGGCTGAAACCCATTGGCAAGGCACTTCTCTTTTCGATAACAGCCATTCTGACTGGTGTGAGGTGATATATCATTGTAGATTTGATTTTCATTTCCCTGATACTTAGGATGTTTAGCATCTGTAGGGATTGTGTCCTTAATTTTTTCTGATAGTTAATTGTTAGTGTATAGACATACAATTGATTTCTTTTGTTGTATGTTGGTTTGTATCCCACAACTTTACTGAAATAATTTATTAGTTTTAGTGTGTTTTGGTGGAGTCTTTTGGGGTTCCTATATACAAGATCATGTCAACTGCAAGCAGAACATTTTACTTCTTTTTTCTGATTTGAATGACTTGTGTTTCTTTTTCTAACCAATTGCTCTGGCTAGGACTTCTAGTATTGTGTTTAATACAAGGGGCAAGAGTGGGAATCCTTTTCTTTTTCCTGAGCTTAAAGGAAAATCTTCCAGCTTTTCACTGTTAAGTATTGTGTTAGCTGTAGACTTGTCATATGTCACATGTGCTTATTTTCTTTTGGATAATTTATTAATTTTAATGTTATGAAATAGCAGTGTTGTATTTTACAGTTCTCAAAGAAATCTTATTCATTTAATCACAGTGATAGAAGTGAAGAAATTAAATTACAGAAAATTGGCAAAATAAAATCACCCATAATCCTGTCACCAAAATTCAGCTATTATTTTATCTTTTTTCTGTTTATTTTTAGCGTGGCCACCCTTGTAGATTTTTTTTATTAAGGTATTATTGATATATACTTTTATGAAGGTTTCACATGAAAAAATAATGTGGTTACTACATTTACCCACATTGTCAAGTCCCCATGCATACCCCATTACAGTCACTGTCTGACAGTGTAGTAAGATTCACTGTTTCCTTTCTCTGTGCTACACTGTCTTCCCTGTGAACCCCACACCATGTGTACTAAACATAGTACCCTCAATCCCCATCTCCCTTCCTCCTGACCCCACC